TATATATATATATATATATATATATATATATATATATATATATAGATGTGTTGAGGGTACACTTTCACAGCAGCGAATATACATATTATAACAGCAAATATACATATTACATTCGATTTGCTTGGTAAGTTGTACGTACAATATAAAAATGTTTCATGCAAATATATTATCTTGTACTTATTCCTCTGTTATCATTGATGATATTTTAGTCTTGTCATACTCTCAAAGTCTACAAGTACTACATAATCTTCAATTACTAATCTCGAGGACGAGGCGCGAGTATAATTAATGATTAAACGAACTTGCCTAAAGTGAAGTTCTATCATAATTATACGAAGCGCCTCGTCCGAAGAGATTAGTAACTAATTCCCTCCCGCCCTAAGCGAACCGCTCGCATTACTAATCATTCTGAAAATATACATCAATGCAGGGCTCTAAACTATATGAAAAATAACGAACTAAGATGGCGCTGCTGTGAAAGTGTACCCTTAACATATCTATTTTTTTTATATAACAAAAACTCCTAACTATGTGCAGAGTGGTGGTACCTATGCGTTACTACAAGTACTACATAATCTTCAATTACTAATCTCGAGGACGAGGCGCTTCGTATAATTATGATAGAACTTCACTTTAGGTAAGTTCGTTTAATTATTAAAAAATAGTTTCATTTTCTATGTGTAACAATCGCGAAAACCTAAGAACTCGATATTGTTTTACAATTCACATTAAATAATGTCGTCAAGTGAAGAGAAAATTACACTCACAAATAGTCCTTGAGCAGATATTGCCGCCGAAATTTAAGCAAACAAGGATGGCGAAAGCTGACTCAATGATTATAAAATTAACGAAGAGCCGTTGATGAATTTTGCTAGTATTATTTTACGTTTTAGTTTACGCCTAGTTATCAATATATTTTTGTATATTTTGAGAAGTTGGGAAAAAAGAATTTGTGAAGGAATATATTTTAGAATAAATGCAAGAACACAACGCAATTGATTCAGTTCGACCATAGATTATGTAACGTTCTTGTACGTACGTTTAATTTTAAGCATAAATGAATGTTTACGTACCTAAAGTACTGGTTATTTTATCGTACACACATAAAACATTAAAGCTTTATGATACCTAATCAAATAACCAATTAAAAGTTAATGACATAAAGTAAAAAATAAAACACACTGCGACAAAAATGTTTAGACAATAATTATAAATGAGAGAAAGTCAGAACGTTTCGACAAGAGACCACTTGCCATTGTCATTGCCATGTCAATGTCATATTGGGATTCACAACAGGGTGACCATTTGTGGCAGATTTCTGCCTTTTCGGCAGATTTAATTTTTATTCATTTTCATTGCGGCAGAACATGTCAACGTTGTATTAAATTTAGCAGAGTTTGACAGATTTGGGAATATTTAGCAAGTTCTATAATATTTATGGGAACAAACTGAAAATTTGTTGTTTTCTGTTACTACGAATAAAGATCTGAAGCACTAGTGTAAGTTTTACCAAAAAATTCGAATACGCTTCGAGCGCGTTAGGTGAGTTAACTATTAGCGAGAAGTTTTTTCATGTTATGCGAGTGTATCTTTTCAAGTGTCACTTCACCGAACGTTGCGTGTGCTCACTGCTATGAAAGTATTTTTTTCTTCTGTAGGTTGGCACTTGAGTTTCGGGATGACAATTATACGATTTATTTAAAACGTAGTTTTGCATTAGGGGCACCGGTCATCGTGAATATTATTCATAATTTGGACGGATAATATTTGTTCGAATGAACGACGAATGAACATAGTGTTGTTTCATTTTCTTCTACAAGAGTAAAAGAGGCATCAAATATGAGTGCCTACCATTGTTGCCGAGTGTTAATCAACACAAGTTTTAAAACTTGGGAATTGGTGCGTTATTTTATAAAATTTTCATTCTAGTTTGTTATTTTCATCATGAAAACTAGTCCGAGCCAATTTGAGATGCTCGTGAATTTTATGGAAACGTAAGTTCTTTGTAGTTTCTTTTGTGTAAAATGTGAGACAAATACAACGTAAGTGTAACAAAAAATGTGTACTTAAATCTTGGTATCAGTTATGGTGATATAACCAAACCTTCAAAAAACGCCCGCGGTCGAATCAAGACAATTACGTCTTAAAATAAGGAACCTTATTAAATGCCGACGCCACTGGTCATGCCAAAACCACGGAAAAATGGAAAAAGGTAAGTTCAATATTTATTCATATTATAACTTTTTTGTAACCTTTTTATGAAAATTTTTTGTAAAAGGTTTTTTGTAATGTTCTTTGAAGGTGTGGAGTGATTATAAAAATAACGGCCTGCCATAATTTTGACACAATTTTATAAAGTCTTTAAACACGAAATACAGTTTATCACAGAAAAATCATGTAAACGTATGATTAAACCTCGATTTCACCACCCAAACAACAAGTGAGATACTTTACTACAGTGATTCCGTTCGAATACTCGCAGAAATGTCAAATTCATAAGTTACACTCGCAAAAACACAAAAAACGCGGTTCAAAGTGAGTAACGCGCTCGATACGTAAAATACGGATCGAGCGCGTTACTCATTTTGACAAATACACTAGCGTTTATTGTTGCCAATACGTACCGCCAGAGGCGCTGTTCATTTTCCCATACTAATTACGATTTTAACGCAAACGCGTTCGTTACGTTTGCCATGATGAAAAACTTACACTCGAGCTACTGAAGCGAAAGCGAAAAATAACCTATGTCAACTTTATAGCCCCAGCTTCTACAGGCTGTTACTCAATTGGCTTTTTGATGCTTTGATAATGTAATGAGTCACAAGTATTGATAGGTCTCTTTAATGCACGTCGTCACAAATACTGGGTCACAAAATACACGGGATGTGGCCGTCCTTCTTTATATTAACGCGCATCCTTCTTTATATTGGCCAAGAAATTTCATCACAAATACAAACTTTTAGTAGCAGTAGAGCTCCTTGTGAAGGAGTTCGTCCAGGGAAGTACTGCCACCATACCTATTTCTGACGCCAAGCAGTAATGTTAGCAGTACTGCGTTCCGGTTTTTTAAAAGGTAAGGGTGCTGGTGAAATCACAGGCACACGGGATTTGTCAACTTATGTCTCAGGGTGACGTGTCCCCTCAGATCTTTGCAATTTAAAGCTCTGAGTGGCGCTGTAATTGCCATAAACAGGCGTGTAGCTTACCATCAGGCGCATGACGTGTTCGTCCCGTCACTTGATGTTATAAAAAAACTAATACAGTGAATATGCCAGGAAAAACCATCGCATTTAATATATGTATCTACGTTGTTCTAATTTAACTTTCAATTTTAATTAAATAAACTTTTATTTGTAATATTGCTGTTTAATTTACTCGCAATCGAAGTAAAAAACAGAGTGTACATACATATAACTCGTTCATAAGACCCATTTTATCCTTGACTTAACTAACCACCCTCGCCTGTGGATCGAGTGGGTATACGTGTCACGAGTCAAATGGCACATTTTATGCACTTGTTGTACAATCTACTATTATTCATCATTATTATATTTAAATCAAAATATTTGGCACATTTATGTTACACACTTTTGAAATGGTCTTTTAAAACTCTTTAAATTGAAGGAATTCGGTGATCGAAACCTTCCCGTGGTTTGGTCAAAAGTGTAACTATCAACAGTGTAGGTACAAAGGCTCTAAACATGAATGATGTAATATGTGTAGTGAAGAGAAGGAACAACGCGTTGGAATAAAGATGTAGTTACCGGTTTGCCGCGTGTGCCTGGTTCGCCTTTGTCGCCCTTGATGCCGGGTGGACCCGCGACGCCCGGCACGCCCGCGGGACCCGGCGCGCCCGGGGGACCCATCATCTACGCACACACCACAGTATTTACACTTCACGGCTCATGAAGGTATACGAGACATTTGCTCATTGCCAACTTTCCAGGAAAACACCATTACAATGAATAATTATTTATAACCGATGAGTTACCTATTACTTGTAAGTAGGTAATCATCGAATACATAAATAATATGGTGTACTTTTATAAAGATTTTAACAACGACTGGTACGTGTACTCAATATTCTGGTATGCGTACCTACTGCCGATTGTTACCGTCAGTGATTTACTCAAAACATACCTCAACCTGAAAGTGTTCAAAAATGGATCATTTAATTTTCCTGTAGTGCCTTGAAGATAATATTGACATACTTGAACGTATTAAGAGCTTTTTCGGTGGCTGACACATGCGAATGCGAGTATAATTGAGCGAGCAGGTAATTTTAGCTTTGAGTGATGCGTACGTTCTAGACGAAATATACTCACAATTTCATGTCCGTAGAGCTCGTACCCCGGGCCGTCGCCCTGCAAGTTCAACAGTGGGTATAAAGATTAACAGTTCACTACAAATCGTGCGCGAGGCGAGCTACAGCGAGGAGTTGATAGTTACCTGACGCCGCCTGAGCTTCCGGTACTTCTGGCAGCAGCCGCCGTCACGCGCGCGCACCGCCAGAACAAACGTTACAGCGGCATGTTAGTTAACTCATTCCGGTGACAGATATATTTAGGTTCATTCAAAAGTGGATTGACAAAATAATAATATTTATCCTTAAGTGTGAAAATAAATGCTGTCTCACCGAATCGCCTTTGTCACCCTTTTCCCCTTTGAGGCCGGGGTACCCGGGCGGGCCCGGCAGTCCTGGCGCGCCCAACATGCCTGGCGAACCCATATCTCCATAGTCACCCTTCTCTCCCTTGGGGCCCATTTCTCCCTGTAATTAGAAGTCAAAAATAGTAAAAACCGCTTGGTTTTACTTTGGTTAGTATTTACTAAAACTATTAAAATACTGCCTTCCAGAAGTCAGAAACTTACTGGTTTGCCGGGGGGGCCCTGCACACCCGATTCACCGTTGAGCCCGTCTAGGCCGGGTGGGCCGCGTGGACCCATCTCGCCTAGTTTGCCTGAAACGTAGAGTGTAACACATTACATTGATGTCATAATCAATGGTATTTCATTAACTCATAGCATTGTTTTTTAAGGTTCCACCAGAAGTCTCTACAGTTTCGTTACGTCCGTCTGTATGCTACACGCTCGCCTGTTGACTACCATATACACTGATATGACACAAAAACAGAAATGAAAAAATAAACGCATTTTTCCACGGAAGGAAATATGTGAAAAGCCAAGCAAGTAGTTTTGTTGGGTGAACTTATAAAAATATGTGACGGGACGAATTTACGTCAAACGATTACTAAGTAGGTACTTGAGGTGTACACTATCCAAGTGTTTTTAGAACATCTGACTTAATTTTCTTTCGTGTCCCCATAATTTTGAAGCACGATTCCAAAAATGGAAGCAAACATTTAGAAGGAAACATGACGGAGTAAGAATGTAACGGAGACTGTAATAAAGACTGACGTATTTTGAACTAACAACGGTCTTATTAGAGTAGCATTGCCGCGAGATGCTTGCTGAATTAAGTAACGGCTACCAAATCGTATCACGGGCGTGACCAACATGCTTTTAGCAAGTTTCGCCACGTGTCATTTTGTACATTGAAAATCAAATTTCCTAACAATCAATTGTGAATAGTACGCGAATTGTAAGGAAAGTTCCGAATAAATTAAACATTGCGCAATAGTTCGCAAAAACTTGGCTAAACGAGCGAATGTGATCTTGGAAGTGATAAAGGATATTTGTAAATCTGAAGTCAACTTACCCACGCCGCGATGACGGCGAACGTTAGTGGTGCGGCGCACGCGCAGGGCCGCGCTGCGGTGCAGAAGCGTTTGCTGCTCGCTTTTTGCTTAAAGCTACTACTGTGCCAGAGTTACGCGATTCACAAAATACTACAGTAGGATTATTATTGCGGTCGTCGTCGTCCCAGTTATTAACTTTCATTTCGCGTTCCACAAAGTAAACTTTTAGTCAGAAGTTAGAAGGTATTCTTCGCACCGGGAAAATGACGAACGCTCAAATGAACAAAATATTGTCTTTCCGCGACTCGAACAGTCGTCACTCGTACCAATCACTGACGCGGATCAAGCGAGCAAGGCGACGTGCGGCGTGCAGCGTGCGACAGGCGGCAGACTGAGATGGCAGAAGGGAACGAATCGAGAAGAGCGCGAGACTGGCCGGCGAGAGCGAGAGGCGGAGCGAGGTTACACGAAGGACAAAGACGAGAGTCGCGTCGGTCGTGCCATGCGATGCCGTGCGTCGTACCCGCTTGCCGCGCTTGCCGCGCGCGCCCTTGTCGCCCGCGGGGCCGGCGGGGCCGGGCGCGCCCGCGTCGCCGCGCTCGCCGCGCGCGCCCGCCGCGCCTTCAACACACGAACGTCACTCAACGAAGCGGCTGCGCCTCGGCCTCTTCGCTACTACACGCCTCGTGCTCCCACCGCTGCCCGTGTCGCCTTCTGTTGTGCTATATTGTGCTACCCGCTGCGATCGTATTCGCTACGACCGAGTCTACGCTTATGCTTAGCGATAACCTAACGATGCGAAAGCGTCACGAGATCTCTGTTTTTCGGCTATTCCGCGTCGACGAGCGGTCGCATATCACGCTCGGCACACGAAACGAAAAATTGAATTATGTTTTGACCGTGTGTTTGTAATTGTGAATAACTATTAATAGCAAACACGCACTCTTTTTAACCGTCAACTTAGTGATAAATGGACCACTCGACGTCGTTAATGTAAGCTTCGGTTTGCTATTAGTGGTGCTAGTAGTCAAAAGTACCAAACAGTGAATTAGTGACACCGCTCTATGGATGAAAACGAAGTGCTAGCACACTCACCGGGCGGGCCGGGCGGTCCGGGTGGTCCCTCGATGATGCCGGTGGGGAAAGCGTCGCCCTTCAGCGTCGTTGTGAAGCCACGCTCGCCTTTGTCGCCCCTGTCACCCTGAAACCGTGAAGTATTCGACCGATCAGTTTTTATCGTTTAGATAAAAAGGTTCCAGTATTATGAATCGAGTTCAGTAAATGGAGCACAATTGCAACGTCGTTGTAGGTACTTGGCGCATTTATATCAGAAAACAATGATTTTGATCAAATATATGCAGTTGACAGTATAAGTAGTACCTTGTGTCCAAGAGGTCCGGGGGGGCCAGGTGGACCTATGGGTCCCGGCGGACCGATAGGTCCAGCGGTACCGGCGGGTCCTGGTGGACCCGGGGGACCAGGACGGCCGTCGTGACCCGGCAGCCCTTCAACGCCCGGAGAACCTGGTGGTCCAGGCGGGCCCGGCTCTCCCGGTTCGCCCTGTGTACGCACATACAGTCCTCATAACGTTACACAGGATTTCACCAAATCGTGCTAGTTCATGTTAGTCCGCAAAGGTGTTACAAGTATCGTCTATAAGTGAAATTAGATCTAAAATTAATAAAAGATAGCAGCCACTTATGTTTGGTATATCTGTTGTTTATTTGTTTCCCGTCTTATAAGAACACATTTCAAAATATTGCATAAGTACAGTACATAAAACGTATAAGCGTATAAACGTACAATTCCGTATCAATTAAATGACAAGTATCAGTAAAGGCAGAGAAGCTAATATAGACAAAGCGATGCTAGATGAAGGCAAAGGAAGGGTGGGAGACAAGATCACGGGCGAGCGTGACTGACCTTGAGTTGGATGACGGTGTTGGCGGAGATGTTGTGTCCGGCCGCCTGCAGGCCCTACACACACACACAAGCTCGGTCACCGCTACTATACTCTACACTAAGCACACATCAGACGCAGTACCGCCATTGCATTTGCTTTAAGATTTCACGCTGTACCTACATTAGGTCGGAAACCTTAGCGAGTTGGCGGTGTTGCGGCAAATAAAATGGCCCACCGGGCTGCAATTCACTAAAAAGCGCAAAATAATTACGATGAAGCTTTTAGAATCGAGGTGGTAAAATTTCCAAAACAAAAAGTACAATATCCATCAAAAGCAGTTCCCCGAACGGGGGTGAGGGGTACCTTGACTGCTATGATCTCGGCGGTGTTGTATGGACTGATTTTAAAGTTGTCCACTGATCTTTTCACTCCCTGTAACCACCGCAACACATCACGTACGTCACACTAAATTGTTTTTCAAGTTTCATATATTCATTACAAATAAATATACGCCAATCTGGTTCAAGATTAGTGACTGCGTGTCTACACTGCACGTCTTTCGTACTTTGCTTTTGTGGACCAGGTATTTCAGATATTTGAGGTGAATGAGTGATAACGAACCTACTAAATTACAAGTCCACTATTTCAAATCTTTATACTAAATTGGCCACAATAGTAAAACTTAAGTATAAGTGAATACAGATATGATGGTGATCGTACCTTGACGGCAGAGAATACGTCAAAACCGGGGCTGCCGTGCTCACCCTTCTGGCCTTTGTCGCCAGGTCGGCCCTGCGCATACACAGACACACAAGTGAATGCATTACAAATAAAGGTATCTATCCACCTGTCATCACACTGTCGGTGTAATAAAATATAATCCACTTACTGGGTCACCTTTCGGTCCATCTAACCCAATTGGTCCCTGGAAAATAAAAGAAAACATGATTTAATATATCACTGTCAGTTTGAATTTTACAGTCAAAAAATTAAGTTATTTTTAAGTACATTCTTAAAGTAAGTAAAAATGAAAAGAGTCCAATTAGGTAAGTACGTCAGTCCGTTCTAATATAGTAGACACACAGATGCGTAAAGAACCATACGGTTAAAGGACCTTAAAGTCGACAAGAGACGACACTGAGGGGTCACACGACAATAATGCAACTGTGTCAGATTAACTAGCACTTTATTCGTTGGGGATAAAATATTTCATTAGATAAAAATAAATTAGAATAGAACTACGGTGTTTTTCTTTTTTTAATTTTACGAAATCAAATTTTTAATAACATATAGATGAAAACATGAAATATATAGTTCTGTTCATAATATTAGGCGAACTCTCGCTAAGATCTTTCTTAAGTATCAGTGTGAAAGTAATAAGGAAACGTGCGGGAAGAGAGCGGTATGCTGTGGCGAGGGAACGCACGGGTTAGCAACGACTTCAACGTGGAGGCAGTGGGTGTGTTAACAAGCACACATGAATCAAATTACGAAGGATTCCATAAGTTGGACGAGTTAGACTAACTACAACAACAGGGCATTAAAGATGAGTGGGGGCTGCTACTAGAGCCTCTTACCATGAAACCTCGTTCGCCCTTCTCGCCCTTGCTCCCCTGAAACGTCACACCCGTTATAGTACACCATCGAGTTATTCATGAACGTCCTCGTAGACTACAGTAGACGGGACGGGAATTGAAGGGAAAGACGCCGAGGATATAAAAGGCACCACGACCTTATATTTATCTTGATAGTATGTAAATTGAAAACTTTGAAATGGAACTAGAACAAGGGAATAGGTAAGACAAGTGAAAGTGGAAGATAGACTAAAATATTGAGCATTAATAAGTACCGGAAATCCATTTTTCCCAGAGGCGCCCGTTAAACCCTGCAAATAAAAGGAACCAAACATAAAACAAAGCATTGGATTCGATGGTGATCGGTTAGCGCTGAGTGGAGTTTGGCTACTCTTATGATAACAAAGTTATTATGTTTCATTATCATCTTACGCACTGAACATGATTTTGCATAATTATCTAGTAAACAAAAATTCGCAATGGTCACTAAAGGACGGAAAAGCAAAGTTGGATCACCAGGAACACGGGTCACGGGAACACTCGTGTATGGTTGAGTGCGTCCCTGTATTGCGCTACGGAGACCACAGTAATATCTTCTACAATCAATTTATAAACACTAATTAAAGCCGCATCTTACCGGTGGTCCGGGCTCGCCCGAGTCTCCCTTCTTGCCCTTCTTGCCTCGCTTGCCCGGCGGACCCGGCGGCCCTGCAACAGACATACGACACATGTATCGTAAGTAAAGTATGTCAAAAAGATGTAGTAACGGCTTAATATTATTATCAGCGCTATGTCTCTCTTTTATTCTAAAATGATTGAAATTTATTCATATCCCAAGAATCAAGTATTGTTTAAAAAGAGCAAGTATTTTCTGTGTGGGATTTCCCTTTGGAAAGACAGGGGCTGCCAATAACTTAAGGCTTCGCGTGTCAGACACGGCAACAGTCGCGCCGTCGCGCTGCGGAAGCGGCGTCGTCTTATCACACCCGGGAATTCCGCGCAACCCTTTAATCGACTCGTTTCCATTAACATATGTAGGAGACAACGAGCTGACGGGTTCAGTAAACAACACCAACAATAACAATGTAGAACCGAACAGCGACTCGACTCTCGCAGCAAAAGATTTTCGATCGCTTTGTAATCTGTAGGTCAGCCATAAACTGAGGATAGCCATATTGGGTACACGTGTAGACGTTGGTATGACGGCCTTCCACTCAGCGTTGCTCGGCAGCTCTGCCGGTGACAAAGTACCTGATCAACCGTCTGATAAAAGCTCGATCTCACGTTCGTCGGATTGACAAAGTGCACTCTACCTTCGTCAAACGAAATCGAAAACGTTGATTATGAACATTTTTATTAATATAAATAAGCCAGTGGTAGCTTACTGGGCCAAAAAAATTTAACACCAGTTTGATGTTTTACTGGTTTTTAGCATTGACTGGACAAGAAGAAGAAGATAATTCAAATAACAAGGCGGTGCTTTTGCGTATTAGACTTTAGAAAATAAACAGAGAACTGAAGCAGCGTACCTACTCCGAATCCGAAGTGATGCCATAGCACTCACGCTCCATATTAAGCAAGAAAAGATATTGTTTTTCACATTGAACGCTAACCCTTTATATATAATAATTTACTACATACGTATTTGTGGAACAATTTTAAGGATAAATTTTAGATCCATTGAATCGGAATTAAGACTGATAATGCTGCATCTTTTTGTAATACAGATTGTGAACTTTCTCCTTCGGTTGAAATCGGTTAATAATCGTGTCGCGCCCTGTAAGAAGGATTTACGTGCGACGGAAATCGCGCGGGGAGAGTGGTAAGTAATGAAGGTAATAAACGAATCGCAAATTGGGTGTTTGAGAAATGCACTGCGAGTGATGGCGCGGTACTGGGTGGGCGCACAGTGCGTTTATTAAAAGAGAGCAGAGACGCTACAGAGGAACGTTCGTTATTTAATTGGAAACAAATTTTTAAACGTCCTCAAGTTAAGGTCAAGTCAGGAGGTCAGCTGCAGCCTCGAGTAAATACAATTTCAGTAGTCTATAATCGGCTCCATTTTTCAAATAATAATACTTTTTACGAAAGAAGGGATTGCAGATAAAGACAAAAGATCACTACACACAAAAAGAAAAACCGCAACAGCCGCAGCGGTAGGCGCATACGTCCGATAATCGTATCAAATAATAATTAAAATAATGACCCATGGTTGCAGCCATCACAAAATTGAAAATAATACCCATTTAGGGTATTAGGGCCCGACCATTAAGGCAATATTTCTAATAAATTACAAGCAATTTACATTTTTTGGGTCTTCATTTTTAAAATTGAGCCCGTGATTCACAGATTATTATGCAATAGCCTCCACCTGCATTTGATATCAGTGTCAGTTTAGAAGTGGACATCTAGGTATTTTGAGAATACGTACGTGTGGCTGGTTTGAAGCCTTCACGTTTCCTTGACAGACGAATATATTCTTCATTGGTTTTTAAAAATTAAGCTTTTAGTTGAATAGCCGGCATATAGCAACTAACAAGTGGCGGGTTTATGAGTGAGGGCCGGTTGAGCGTGTCGCGCGAGTGTCTCAGTTTCGTTGAGAGCACTCTGTATCACTTTTCCAGCTCTTGGCTGAGCGCAGCTCGACGGCCGACATCGGCTTAAGGACACCTTTGTTATGTTTCTCTATTTGCAAAAGGTCTGTTTTGTTTTAAAGAGGGCTTATTTCAGCTATATCGTGTGCAGTTAGTCGCAGCTCTGCTGTCCGGATGGTTATGTAATAAGCTCATACTGCAATATCATAATAATAGTGTGTAAACAGTGTGTTAAATTTGAATTACCTAATGTAAAATTGTAGAAATCATAGAAATAAATGGAGAAAGGTTAGATCTTGTTAATAAAGCTGTCTTTTTGGGAGTGACCTCAGATAAACTCCAATGGTTTCCACATATATCTTCCTTTGCCAGCAGATTAAGGTCTGCTGCTTCCGCAGACCGTCGAATCGTGACGTCAAACGTGAGCTTACCGATGTTGCTACTGCTAGACTAGTTTACTTTAGTTACTTCCATAGTGTAATGTCCTACGGGATTCTCATGTGGGGTAAAGCGGCAGATATACAAACCATATTTGTGTTGCAAAAACGAGCGATTCATTCTGTGTACCGTTTAAGTTCTCGGAGTTCTCTCAGAGAAAAGTTTAAGGAGAAAACTTTTATCATGACTGTGACATCACAATACATTTACTCAAATATTTTGTATGCCCGTAAAAATATACATAATTTCGTTAAGAAACAAGATATTCATAATATTAACCTTAGAACTAATTTCAAACTCATAGTAACACGATTTCGTTTAACTAAGATAAACGATTCTTTTATGGGGAACACTATACGTTTTTACAATAAGATTCCAGAGCATTATATTGAGATTACCATTTCCTAAGTTCAAATCTTACATTAAAAGTATTTTAATTAAAAAGTCATATTACAAAATTGTAGACTACGTGTTAGATAAAGATGTTTGGAAAGACAACGTGTGTGAAACAATATCTAAAATAAGTCGCTTCATGAAATTCGACTTCGCTAACATGGAAAGCGCTTGTATCGAAAAGTCTAGCGCATTTAAAATTAAAAGACACTAAACGTTTAAAATTTTAAACGTAACGTTTAAAATAACTTTTATGTTTAGAAAGTTCTAAAATGTCAAAACTTTCGGGTATCAATAAAAAGTGTAGTTTTAGTTATTTTTTACCGAAACCATTGTACTGCCATCGAACGATCCACAAGTCTTCGTCATAATCAAACCCTTAAGATTTATTTATTACATTAAGCAAATTAAAAGTTTGAGATTAAATTCTCACTATAATTTTGTTCACTGCACTGATCGATGAGTCGCAACATTCCGGACCCTTCTTCGCGAACGTATAACGTGGCCAGTTCACTAGCGACTAGTCACCAGTGTAAACATTATAAGCACTAGTAAATCCCTTTCCCTAATAAAAATACTAGACTTGTAGTTGTGCTTGTAGCTAATAATCATCGACTGATAAATAAAACTGTTTAGGTTGGTCCCACTTAAATTTGAAGAAAATATTCCACCTCTAAGGGTGGAAAACTAGGGGATGAATACAGTTTCGCGCACTTTCCGGTAACCGATTGTGAAGTTGATTCCTTTTTTAAATAAAAATTATATTACTACCGTTCTTCAATCTCCACAAATACTAAGCTCCATTCAACAATGTTGCCACTACAATGTTGCCACGTCCATATTACCAGAATAAAAATATATATTATTTAGTAGATTTTTAATATTTTTTAATTAATTGGCTTGCGTGTTAATTTTTTAAATTAATGAATGTGCTTAAGTGGCTTAAGTCTCGTTATTCCCGACTGAAAATGTCAGTCTCGAGTCTCGAAAGTGCCAGAAAATTGTAAAAACTCTCGAAATTTCCGAGACCGAGATTCCCGAGATGACTCCCTAACTAATACCGTAGATTTGTACGGGAGACAGATGCCCCGGCCCCACATTACCGGGGCAGACAAACGAATCTATCCCTACTAGCTAACCACATAACCACAGCGAGGCTATACCCAGAGTCCGAGACAACCAGAGACGCCTGAGAAATCCTATCCATCGGGTGAGTAATAGGGACACTAGTTCAAGATAGTTCGATGATTATCGACGTCACTGACCTTCGTTTTTTTGTCAAATTTCGACGTTTGGTACCCGATCCACTACAGCATATAATTCCCAGCATAGAGCGCTCCATCGATCGTTGTGCCATCTTAGTTTTGGGCAACCTAAACAAGGCTACCAAAAAGGAAATCCATTCTGACACAAGAGCTTATAATGTATTCTTTTTTATTATTTATTTGCATTCAGGTTACAAAGACCCATAAATACATACCTTATAGACTAATCTAATATATAGGAAATGAAACTATTTTTCCGGACTTAAATCGCGTATATTATGGTCATGGTCACGGTTGAGTCGACCATGGGACCTGTAAAGGGCCCGAAACGTCGGTTTGTTTGAAAAAACAAATATACGCGATTTAAATCCGGAAAAATAGTTTCATTTCCTATGTGTAACAATCGCGAAAACCTAAGAACTCGATAATCTAATATACATGAAAATACAATAAAACACTCATATAATATATATCTTAAGGAAAAACATACACACAATACAATAGAAGACTATTTCTAACTAATCTCATCAAGATTCATAAAGGTCGATAGATGATAGATGATAGATCATAGATGTTCGAGCGGCACTCTCACTGCAAACGAATTAAAATTTACGTTGTGGCCGGACTCCAACCAATCGACTCTCAGGGTATATTTGGCTTTATGTCTGATGTACTCCACTATCTCCTCAGACTTCGTGGAGTAATGCAGTCGTGACAGGTACAGCAGCGTCGTCGGTATGGCCGGACGCAGCAGGAAGTTTGGTCCTGTCGGTGCTGTGCCTCACTGATTACGGCTGGTGGGCTTCCCTTCCTCTTCACCACCTTTATAATACCCAAACTCTTGCCAAAACCATCCAGGACAATAGGGGCCCAAAAAGTTTTAGAAGAAAATGGAACAAAAATAAAAAGGAAATTAATTAACTCACGGACAGTGCCAGTAAAATTGTGATGGACCGTGACCAACTACTATGGATCATTGAGGAGTTTCACGAGAAATTTCTATGGTTCCAAGGAGCTG